CCCCGCTGGGCACCCCAGTCCCCGCTCACCCTCCCGTTGCTGTCCAGCTCCGTGGCCTCGCTGCGGCTCACGCCCCGCTCCAGCCGCTCCCGCAGCAGCCTGGCATCGTTCCTGGCACAGCACTGGTACAGAGTGAGCAGCCCCGCGCCCCCAGCCTCGGCGGGCACCTCGGAGCAGGGGTAGATGGAGTCCTCGGAGAAGATGCTGCTGGTGTCCGAGGGCTGCGAGGATCCTGCTGCTTCCTCCTCCTCCTCATCCTCCTCATAGTGCAGCTCCGGGTCGGAGGCGTCCAGGCTGGCATCGGTCATCCGGCCCGGGCGGGGGCAGCGAGCCCGGCCTGGGGCCAGGAGCCTCTCCCGGGCGGCCGAGGGGGCACTGGGGCTGTCGCTGCTCCTGGGCACACACAGAGGGGGTGTGGGAATGGCAGGGAACCAGCACAGCCCAGCCCGGCACAGCCCGGCCCAGCCCGGCACAGCCCGGCCCAGCCCGGCACAGCCCGGCACAGCCCGGCACAGCCCGGCACATCCCAGTACAGCCCAGCACATCCCAGTACATACCAGCACATCCCAGTACATCCCAGCACATCCCAGCACAGCCCGGCACGTCCCAGTACAGCCCGGCACATCCCAGTACATCCCAGTACAGTCCGGCACATCCCGGCACATCCCAGCACATCCCAGTACATACCAGCACATCCCAGCACATCCCAGCACAGCCCAGCACATCCCAGCACATCCCAGCACATCCCAGTACATACCAGCACATCCCAGTACATACCAGCACATCCCAGTACAGCCCGGCACATCCCAGTACAGCCCAGCACATCCCAGTACATCCCAGCACATCCCAGTACAGCCCGGCACATCCCAGTACATCCCAGCACATCCCAGTACAGCCCGGCACATCCCAGTACATCCCAGCACATCCCAGTACAGCCCGGCACATCCCAGCCCAGCCCAGCACATCCCGGCACATCCCGGCACACCCCAGTTTATCCCAGTCCATCCCAGCCCATCCCAGTTTCTCCCAGCCCATCCCAGTTTCTCCCAGTTTATCCCCCAAGACACCCAGACTGTCCCAGCAGCAGGGTGAGGATTTTGGGATCAGCAGCTCCCCCAGCACTCCCAGGCTGTCCCAGCAGGGTGAGGATTTTCCCAAGGGAACACCCAGACTGTCCCAGCAGGGTGAGGATTTTGGGATCAGCAGCTCCCCAGGACACCCAGACTGTCCCAGCAGGGTGAGGATTTTGGGATCAGCAGCTCCCCAGCACACAGATCCCTGGAACAGGAGCTGTGTGCAGGGACACCCAGGCTCAGCCGGGCTCAGCAGGGATCAAACCCTTTTGCTCCTAAGCCGAATTCATTAAGCAATGAATTAACGGGTGCCACGAAAGGAGGAAAAATCAAAATCCCGCCGGACTCCCCCACCCCTGAGGTGCTGCCGCTGCTCCTCTCACCTGGATCTTCCCTGGGGCTGCTCAGATTTTGGCTCCCTCCTCAGCTGGGCAGCATCGCGGCCACGAGCAGAGGGAGAAGTCACCGAGCAACCACGAAATGTCCCTCTGGACCCTCTGCGGGGCAAAAGAGCTTCGTGCTCTGTGGCCGAGGTGGCCTTTTGGCACCTGAGCTGTGACAACCTGCACGTTGACGTGGGCTCAGCCACCCGAGAGATCTTAAATTAAATTGTTGCTTAAAATGGCTGCATGCAGCCTGAGCAGGATCAGGGCAGGATTTAGTGCCTTGAGCTGCTGGGAGCCCCGGGCTGGGTTTTTATTCCTGTCTCACTTCGGTGTGTTGGCCTGGGCAGTGCCACGGGCTCAGCTGCCACCCCAAAAACTCCTTCCACCTGACTTTTTAGCCAGGTGAATTGGCTGAGCAGATAATTCTGGGAAGCTGCCGCTCCAGGTTTGGACACCTGAAATGTCCACGTGCGTTCAATAAACTCTGTGATTTCCCTTTAAAGCTGCCTTGGAGTTTGCATCCCTCCTGCTCCACCAGGAATGAATTCCAAAGCTCTCAGGGCTGAACCCTGGAGCTGCAAAAATTGTTTCCCAAATTACACATGAAGCCCGACTGTTCTCTTCTTTTTCACCTTTAAAGGGTTTTTTGGTGCTGTTGTTTGTACATTGTTGAGGTTTTTATGTGTTTTCCTGAAGTTCAGGAGCCATTTGGACTGTGGAGCTACAAAAGGACATTTCCAGACCCTGGATCAGCTATTTTCTCACCAAAAAAATCTGGAATTTGGTACCAAGGCAAATGGTGGGAGGCCGTGCTCCTCGTTTTCAGCAGAGCCCCAGAGGGTATTTCACTGCACCCCTCAAGGTGAAAATATGGATCAGAGGAAGAATCCCTGCTGCTCCCTCTGTGCTGGGGAGCAGGAGCTGGGAATCCTGGAGCTGAATAAAAAAATCCTGGAGCTGAATATAAAAATCCTGGAGCTGAATATAAAAATCCTGATGCTGAACACCAGAATCCTGATGCTGAGTGTAAAAATCCTGATGTTGAACATCAGAATCCTGATGCTGAACATCAGACTCCTGATGCTGAGTGTAAAAATCCTGTTGCTGAACATCAGAATCCTGATGCTGAATGTAAAAATCCTGATGATTAATGTAAAAATCCTGATGCTGAATGGAAAAATCCTGATGCTGAACACCAGAATCCTGATGCTGAACATCAGAATCCTGATGCTGAGTATAAAAATCCTGATGCTGAGTATAAAAATCCTGATGCTGAACATAAAAATCCCGATGCTGAATATAAAAATCCTGATGCTGAATATAAAAATCCTGATGCTGAACACCAGAATCCTGATGCTGAACATCAGAATCCTTATGCTGAATGTAAAAATCCTGATGCTGAATATAAAAATCCTGATGCTGAATGTAAAAATCCTGATGCTGAATGTAAAAA